ACACCAAGCGAGGCTTCTTTCTTACACCTCCCTTTCTACATCCGACACCTCTCACTAACCCGGCCGACCCCGTACTACTACGTACTTTTTAATCTCCGCCATGAGCGCCTCCAAGAACTCCAGGTCGCGGGTTCGAGCCCCGGGCTTGAGTCCGTCTAGGGAGGCCGCCACCGGGAAAGCCACCTCCAGCACCCACTGCTGCCCCCCGCAGTCGAACGCGAGCAGATCGTCGCTGAAACCCACCCGCACACCCGCCGAGCGGCGCCAGTACTCCGCCTCCGCCGCATTCACCGCCGCCACCCACTTGGCGTCTAGAGGCCCGGGGCCAGAGGCCAGCAGCGCGTCACGCAGCTGCGGGGCGGTGAGACCGACCCACGGGTCCGTGGGGGCGGCGGTGTCGGGGGCTGGAGCCGTAGCGCTGATGGTGGTGGACGCGGTCGGGGCGCTCTCGGGTGCGGCCACGGTGGCGTATAGGCGCCTGGTTGGGTCGGCCAGGCGGGCGGTTGGGTCGGCCAGGCGGGCGGTTGGGCAGGTAGGCAGGGTGTGTGGTCGGTTGGGTGATTGGGTGCGGGGTGGGTGAGGGGTGGTGGGGTGGTGGGGTGGTGCGTGCGGGTGTGGGAGCTGTGGTCGGATGCGGTCCAGATCTGGAGAGAGTGCTGAAAGGGAAAGTGGAAAGGGGACCAAGCGTTACCAAGAGTGCCTGGTGCCTGGTGTGAGGTTGGCTCCTAAGGAGGCCGCCCCAAGGAGGCTACCAGGGGAACGTGGAGGCTCCCGACATAACAGATGTGACGAGTGACACAGTGGCACATAACAGATGTGACGAGTGACACAGGTGTGAAAAGTACGAAACGTGGCGTAACGTGGGCACCCCTCCCCAACCCCCGGGGAGGGGACCATGGCGACCTAAACCCCCTTAGCACACTCTTACACACACATACACACATACACACACTCCCTCCCTTTTCCACTTATGTCCACCTCACTCCCCCTGGGTCCCTGGCTCCCTCCACATCATAAGGCCTTTATACGACAGGGATGTTCCTGACGCTTCACTCACTCACTCACTCATTCACTCAGTCGCAATTTGCATACAGAATATCACCTCACCCCCCCCCGACCCCGACCCCGTCCGTCGTCATCTCCTACCTGAGCGCGTGGGTGCGCTCCGCCTCCGGGTGTGCGGGTTTGGCCGCCTCTTCCCGAGCCGCCTGGAGCTCCTCCGGGGTTCTGGGGGGATTCACTTGTACGACAACGACAGTATCAGTGTACGGGATATACAGGTACCTGCGCAGAGGAGGGGGGAGGGGGAGGGGAGGGGACTCGACAAGGATGTGCTTAGAGGGGATACATAAACCACAGACATGCACAGCCCATCTCCACACCGCAACCTGCCGTACATCCGTACATACACCCTATGCGCACACACCCCTGTACACACCCCTGTACATACACCCATACACCGCAGAACCACAACCCCGGCCACACACACACACACTTGATATGTTTATTTTGTTGCAGCCACTTCACGTGGTTCCTGTGGACCTCCGCCCGGCTGGCAGTGAAGGTTCGCTCGATGAGCGGCTCCCGGGGAACCACACGGAGCGTGGCCTGAGGGGGGTTGGGGGAGGGGGGGGAGGGGGAAGGTGTGTTTTTTCTATATGAAGATGCCGCGTGTTGTGTGTTCCTTTGGGGGCGGGGCTGCAGTGGGGGAAAGGTGGAACTGATGGGTGGGTTGGGATGTACGGGAACCGGAGCCGTACGAGGGGTGGAGGTGGCGGTTAAGGCCGCCATGCATCCGTAACTCATCATCACCATCGCCATCACCAATACCACTGCCACCACCACCACCACTACACATCCTCATCCCTTGAATACAGACACACAAACATACAAACCAACACCCACCTCCGTCATGACACCCAAGGAGCCCAAACCAACGCGGGCCAGCCTGAGAGAACCGCCCGGGGGGCAGAGGGGGGGGAGGGGGGGAG